AGGAATAAAGCAGCAGAGAGGGGGTGGGGATGGGGGGCCAGGGTATAAAGAAGCAGGGAGGGGGGAGGGGATGGGGGCCAGGGTATATGGCACACCTCTTGGGGGCGGGGACACAACTATAAGAGGGAGTTTATCTAACGAATGTATTCAGTGTAACTTAATTCTCTGTACTCTCAATGAATTCCAAACAATAAAACAAACAAAAAAAGGATCCTTTGAGTCCCTGAGTTTGAAGTAGCTGTGAGCTATGAAACAGCAGTCTCACTCTGTCCCCCTCAAAAAGTGGGGGAAAAAAGAATATTAAAAACAAGGTATACACTGGCAAAATATCAAAATTAAATAACTTGCAACTTCACTCAAATATATATATATATGTTTTTTGAGATAGTCTCACTATGTTGTCCAAGGTAGAGTGCCACGGTGTCACAGCTCACAGCAACCTCAAACTCTTGGGCTTAAGAGATTCTCTTGCCTCAGCCTCCCAACTAGGTGAGACTACGGGCACCTGCCACGATGCCTGGCTACCTTTTGTTATTGTTGTCATTGTTGTTTAGCAGGACCTGGCTGGGTTTGAACTCACCCGCCCTGGGGCAAGTGGCCAGTGGCCTAAACCACTAAGCCTGGGTGCCGAGCCATTCACTCAACTCTTTTAAGAAAGTAATGTGTCAACTGTACTACAGACTGATTTAAACAAGTAACTCTACTGGTTAAATTCAGACATAGTAGGCAAAACTTCATTTTATCAAATGACGAGCTAAGATTTAAGGGCTTCAGTGAACTCCAGATACCCATGTAAATTAGTCTTTTAAAAACATGTTAAACTCTTCAAGTTTTCATTGTTAGTAATGCAGAAAAGGACATGCTTTCTGTTCCAAGGGTCTGGACTCTCTCGGGCATTCCCGTGCTTGTGTGACCACCATCTACTGTCTGGAACTTACTGTCCTGCTTCATTAGTGTGACATTGTGGGCTGAACAGAGAGGAAATTCGCGGCTTGAAGATGTCCAGCTAGTTTGGAATTGTGGCTCTCCCCACTTGAGATCTGCCCCAGGTTGGTCACTTAGCCTTTGAAGATGCGGTAGGCCCTGTGAGGGCTGCTGTGAGCAGTAATGTGTGACTCCCATTAGAAGGGGACATCGTGCAACTCCAGGGACAATCACACGTGTGTTTCAGATTTCACAGGCTCTGAAAAACGACTCCCTAAATTTCAGAGGTGTTGAAGTATTTAGGCCCATCTCTTGTTGGCTCAGGTTCAGCAGTTAAAGAGAAGACAAAAATTACCTTGGATTTTTTTGTTTGTTTGTTTTTGAGATAGAGTTTCACTTTGTCACCCTTGGTAGAGTGCTCACAGCAACCTCAAACTCCTGGGCTCAAGCGATTCTCTTGCCTCAGCCTCCTGAGTAGCTGGGACTACAGGTGCCCACAACACCCAGCTGCTATTCTTAGAGGTGGGTCTCGCTCTTGCTCAGGCTGGTCTTGAACCCGTGAGCTCAGGCAATCCATCTGTCTCGGCCTCCCAGAGTGCTAGGATTACAGGCGTGAGCCACTGCATCTGGCCTCCAGCTAGCACTCTTACTGAACTGCACCTGATCTATCCACTGATGCCACAAAATGGGCTGGTGATTACCTTCTGGAGGTAAAGGCAGGGCAGCAGGACTTGCTAAAATGCAGGGGCTAATTCTGTAGCTTCTCCACTATCCTCATCTACACAGTTGGCTCTTTCAAAAACAAAGATATAATACTGCCTCCAAAGAATGATTATGGTATTAAGTGTGTCACAGGAAGAAGTCAGTATATGGTTTATCTTTCCTGGGGATTATCAGGCTGGGGCCTCACTCTTGCCCAGAATGTTCCTGAGCTCTAGCTCATCACCACTTCAACAGGTGCGTGTCTGGGAACAACATTGACTTCTTAACAGGTATCCCAGCAAGATGAAGGTGGGTGAATCTGCAGCTGCCCGACACAGCCTGACAACAGCTACCAGAGGCTTTAAGGGTTTGGTGTCAGGTCACTGGGCAGGCCCAGTTAACAGGTGATAAGATCTGCATGGGTCAAGTGAGCTTGTGTCTAATGTATACAAAGAGATTCTATCTTCTCTTTTTGAAGAATTTTGTTTTCCTAGGGGAAAAAAGGAGAAAGCAACTAGTTGATTCATAAAACAAATGATTGTGTTAAACCAAGGAAGAGAAAGACGATAATGTCAGCACTAAATAACCTTGCAGAGATCTTTAAGTTTATAATTAAATCCCAATTTAAAAAATTACAATGAAGTTAAAAATAATTTCTCCAAGAGCTACCTAGAGGCAGGGGCAGGGCTGGACACCACACCTCTGTACTGACTGGGATGTGTTGGAAGCAACGCTTAATTCCTGAGAAACACTTTCCTGTCTAGTCTGAGTCTCACCTACTGGGCTGATCGCCGAGTACTCGGCAAAGTCGTGCCAAAGGAAACCCCTGGATGGCTGCAGCGGTCTGAGGTTTGCGGCGGTGGGCAGTCACTAATGGGTGCAGGGATCCAAGGCTCCCATTGCACAGAGCTTTCTGCCTTGGGCCTCTGGAGTCTGATACCTTTTTTTTTTTGAGACAGAGCCTCAAGCTGTCCCCTTGGGTAGAGTGCAGTGGCATCACAGCTCACAGCAACCTCCAACTCCTGGGCTTAAGTGAGTCTCTTGCCTCCGCCTCCCAAGTTAGTTGGGACTACAGGCGCCCACCACAACGCCTGGTTATTTATTTATTTATTTTTGGTTGCAGCCGTCAATATTGTTTGGTGGCCCGGGCTGGATTTGAACCTGCCAGTTCAGGTGTATGTGGCTGGCGGCTTAGCCAGCCTTTTTTTTTGAGACAGCGTCTCAAGCTGTCACCCTGGGTAGAGTGCCATGGTGTCACAGCTCACAGTAATCTCAAACTCTTAGGGTTAAGCTATTCTCTTGCCTCAGCCTTCCACGTAGCTGGGACTGTAGGTGTCTGCCACAACATCCAGACATTTGTTTTGTTGCAGTTGTCATTGTTGTTTAGCAGGCCCCGGCCAGGTTCGAGCCTGCCAGTCTCAGCATATGTGGCTGGCGCCCTACCCGTTGAGCTATGGGTGTCACCCAATCTGGTACCTTTTCTTAAAGGAAGAAGCCAAATTTTTTCTCTATCCCAAAACAATAAATACTTCTGGGGCCAGCTTCCAAAGAATGTGGCACTACCTCTATGCTGTACGGCTGATAGATGACACTCCTTAAATCTGTAATAGTGCCCAAATAAAATTATACTCCTCTGCCTCTGCTATTGAGAAGGACGCTTCTTTTACTGGTCTTGTGTGGGAATTTCCTATAAGATTCAAACAAAATAAGCACACATGCACATCCAGGTTTAACTCAAAGCAAAGCAAAGCACTTTCCAAAAAATCTCACCTAGGCTTGATTTTTTAAAAAAGTACATTAAAAAAGAAAAAAATACCTTTGCAAATATAGTCTTGACATAAATTGGCAGGTCTCCATGGGGACTTCCATAACCCCCTACAATACTAAACCCCAAGCCTTCAGAGCCTTTCTCCAAAGTAATAATCTTAGGTGAAGGTGTTCTGAAAACACAATGCACGCTGTTTAATTCAAGAATAGAGATTGAGAGGGAATTTCATTTTCATGGAAGAACACAGATTTGAGAGAGACTTTCATACTGTGAAACTATGAAGTTAGTTTATCAAATCAAACTCTCAGCAGTCTGGAAAGATTTAAAAATTTCCCATGTCATGCCAGCTCATCACCGACATCTTGGCGTTTTAGGGTTACTCTTTCATACAACCCACGGCTTTCTAATTAAAAAATAATAATAATAAAGCCACAATGCTGAAATTGTTAAAGCACATTTGTGTAGTGTTTAACTTTTTTTTTTTTTTTTGGCAGTTTTTGGCCAGGGCTAAGTTTGAACCTGCCACCTCCAGCATATGGGGCCGGCGCCTTACTCCTTTGAGCCACAGGCGCCGCCCTAGTGTTTAACTCTTAAACTTACTCTTTACAGCTGAAGGAAGGTGTCTTCCCACCCTTGAAGAATGTGCATGGAGACAGAAATGGCATCTCCTGGGCATGGTGGGCACCTGCCAGTCCTTGGGTGACTTGTGTGCCTAACAGATAACACAGCCGCACAGCTCAGGAAACTGTGCCTCCTTTTCTGCGGTGATGCTCTGGCCACGTCCAGCCCACAGGTCCCACACTGCCACCCAGGGAGGGTCTCACTCCACAGAGCCACCTCCAGTGTGTGGCCATCCTAGAACGGAGCTTCGAGGATGAGCCAGATGGTTCTCTGCTCCCTCTGCACTGGTCCAAACTTCCCTTACGGCACTTACTATGTCCTGTTGTGACTAATGACTTAATCATATTTCTCCTCCACCGCCAGACTCTGGACTCCTGGGGTCTGAGTCATCTGAGCACTCCCAGCCCTGTGCACTGTGCAGGCCACAAAGTCAGGGTCATGATTGTCCATGAGAAATGCAATCCCGCAGGTAGAAGAGAAGCCAGGGTGAAGGAAAATAGATAAAGAAAATCTGTTTAAAATGCATAATTTAGATTTTCAGAGCTTCATCCAGTGTGGAAGTCTTCTCTCTCAGAAACAACATATTAAATAACATATGTGGACTCAAGTAATTCAGTGTCGGTTTAGCTGAACCCGATTTCTTATTCCCAAAGGCTACTGTCTGGACAGTAAAAACCTAAAGGAACTCTCATATTGCAGTGAGTATTTGTATGCTGGCAGCAGCACTTGTTTAAGACAATGCTATCTGAGCGGCAGGGTCACCTGAGACAGACTCGGCCACTCACATATGTGGGGAACTCTGCAAAATGGGGACACTCCTGATCTTTGAACATGCTGCTCTGACTATACTAATCTCCCCTCTCTGCTGCCTCAGTTTTGCCTGGCTTGTCTTTTTTTTAAAATTTTTTTGCGACAGAGTCCCACTTTGTCATCCACAGTAGAGTGCCATGGCATCATGGCTCACAGCAACCTCAAACTCTTGGGCTCAAGGGATTCACTTGCCTCAGCCTCCCTAATAACTGGGACTACGGGCACCTGCTACAACACCCAGCTATGTTTCAGAGATGGGGTCTCGCTCTTGGCTCAGGCTAGTCTGGAACTTCTAAGATCAAGCAATCCACCTGCCTTGGCCTCCCAGAGTGCTGAGATTACAGGTGTGAGCCACTGCACTCAGCCGGACTGCCTTATTTTAGGGTTGATTTTCAGCTGGTTCATACTGATTCTAGTTGTTAAAGTACTTACTGGTTGTTTTTTTTTTTTTTTTTTTTTGAGACAGAGCCTCAAGCTGTCACCTTGGGTAGAGTGCCGTGGCATCACAGCTCACAGCAACCTCCAACTCCTGGGCTCAAGCAAGTCTCCTGCCTCCGTCTCCCAAGTAGCTGGGACCACAGACACCTGCCACAATACCCGGCTATTTTTTGGTTGCAGCTGTCACTGTTGTTTGGTGGGCCCAGGCTGGATTCGAACCTGCCACCTTAGGTGTATGTGGCTGGCACCTTAGCCACTTGAGCCACAGGAGCCGAGCCCTTACTGGTTGTTTTTAGCAGGTATCCGTAGTAATTGCTGACTGGTCTAACCCATTTAAATTGTTACCTGTTTTGAAGGCCATCCTGCTTATTCTAATTCTTTTAAAAGTCAGCTAACACATCAGCTATGTGATGTGATGTCCCATCTCCATGATTTCACCAGACCCTGTCTCAGTGGCCCTGCAGTTACCAGCTCTTCTAACCCTGGACTCTCAGGGTTGCTTTTCCAATTCCCTGGCAGCTTCTTGAGGATTGGGACAATACCTTAACTGACACATCTAGATTTGAGTCCTCAGGGCTGGGCATGGTGGCTCATGCCTATAATCCCAGCACTCTGGGAGGCTGAGACGGGTGGACTGCCTGAATTCATGAGTTCAAGACTAGCCTGAGCAAGAGCGAGACCCTGTCTCTAAAAAATAGCCAGGCATTGTGGCAGGTGCCTGTAGTCCCAGCTACTCTGAGGCAAGAGAATCGCTTAAGCCCAGGAGTTTGAGACTGCTGTGAGCTGTGACGCCTCAGCACTCTACCGAGGGTGACAAAGTAAGACTCTGTCTCAAAAAAAAAATTTTTTTTTTGAGTCCTCCTCAGAACTCAGCACTTATATAGCACCTGGTCTTAGAAAGGTGCTCAATAAATATCTGTTGAAATAATGATGAGTGGCTCAGTGCCTGTGGCTCAAGTGGCTAAGGCGCCACCCACATACACCTAAGGTGGTGGATTCAAATCCAGCCCGGGCCCGCCAAACAACGACGATGGCTGCAACCAAAAAATAGCCGGGTGTTGTGGCGGGGTCCTGAGGGCCCCGCTACTTGGGAGGCAGAGGCAGGAGACTCGCTTGAGCCCAGGAGTTGGAGGTTGCTGTGAGCTATGATGCCAGAGCACTCTACCCAGGGGGACAGCTTGAGGCTCTGTCTCAAAAATAAATAAATAAATAAATAAATAATGATGAGTTATTGATCCCCTGTGGCTGAAAAATAATGATGCCATGAACATGGCTCTAACTCTCACCACTGGCTGAGAAGCATCTCAGTGACGGCCACTGGCTGGACAAAGAGCCACTCAAGTTTCCTCCTTCAAACACAGCCACCATTTCCAAAGACAGCGGAATGGGAACCTGGATGTCCGAAGCCACCGTTTCAGAGACGGCTCCTGTAAGGGAGGTATTTTCGGTGGGGGTGTGTGGCTCTTCTGTCTCAGTGGAAACGTCACGTGGAGTTTGCCTCCATGTACTCACAACGTTAAGACACTTTCAATCATCTAATTTTAATCTACTTTCATATGGAAGACTAGTAAAAAAAAATCTCCAAATATTAACAGTGGTGGGATTATAAGTGACTTTTTTTTTTTTTGATACAGTTTCACTTTGTTGCCCCAGGTAGAGTTCCCATGGCATCAACACAGCTCTCAGCAACTTCAAACTCCTGAGCTCAAGCAATCCTCTTGCCTCAGCCTCCCGAGTAGCTAGGACTACAGGTGCCCACCACAATGCCTGACTAATTTTTCTGTTTTTAGTAGAGATTGGGTCTTACTCTTATTCAGGCTGGTCTTGG